GTTAATAATGCGAGATTTCTTGTACGTCAATACATATTAAAATATCTAGTCGATTATACTCGGATATATCGCGAATTGTTGGCCCGCCATAAATATAGATAATCAAGTGAAATGTTTGCCGCTGTCTATTGATTTTTCGTCAAAATCATTATCAACATCATTATTAACACTGTAATCAGTCGCTGGTGCCAAAGTGTTGTAAACCGTCCATAAAAATCAGAACCTAGTTCCACCATAACCAAAACAACAACAACAACAATTCCGTTTCATTAGACACTGCCCGCAGCACTGAAGGGTCTCTGTCTGCCTTAACGAGCACAACCCGTGTATCAGCTACATACCATATATAAAGAGCATATATTTATATACTATATATATCTACACAATGAGCAGCTACACGGCAGCCCAGTACTACAAGACCACCAATATGATTACCTCGAATGAGATTTACTGGTAAGTTTCAGACATATGTACATAGATATTCCCTTTTTGCATTATCCTTTCTGTGTCTGCCTGGCTGCACTTGTGGGGCATCCGCCCGCAAATACAACAAGCTACAGCCCCCTCCACTGTTGCCAGCCGGCAGTTCAAGGTTCGCTCTGGCGAGGCCGCTTGTGACGCAATAGACGCCCACAATGCGCGTACCATTGAAGCTGCAGCAGCAAAATCAATGATATCTCCGCTGTTTCGGGTGCTTTCCCCTACCCCCCAGCTGTCCAGCTTGCCTGTATAGCTGCCCACACACATACGCGTGTTCGCCCACGCTGCCCCACCCACCTCTGGGCCCACACAGCGCGCACTGCGTGAGAACAAAGGCGTCTTCTACTACCTCACAATGCACTTTGTCTATAGTCGAACTGGACTAGAAAACGCATACAAGTAGGCAACACTTTTTAAATTAGTTGTTAGCTGTCAGCTGACACTTTATTGCCAGCCCAAGAGTATGCTTTGAATTTATTTGTGGATCGCAAGTGCCCCAACTGCAGCTCCATTCACAATTTCAACTTGTGAGTTTATTGTCAGCCCATGAGTATGCTGCGCATTTATTTGTGGATCGCATGTAGTTCGCAATTCCAACGCGTAATTAATTATTCGCTCGAAAGTATGCTCTGAATTTATTTGTGGATCGCAACTGTCCCAAATGCACAAATGTTTTTAAATTGAGTCTAATTTTAAGTACACACAGTTTTAGGCCTGAGCTCTTATGCTCTGAGCATAATAGTTAATAGAGAGTTTGAATTTTTCCACAATCTCAATTCCAGCGAAAAAATCGATTATTTTTGCCAAATAAGTATCATTTCCCTTTACTTCCATCTATTTATGTACTATAATGTATGTGTATATGTGAACAGCTTTTATGTGCCAGCTAACAGTTACATAAATACGAAGTAACAAAAGCCTTGAACTCTGACATTTTCAATACAGCCCACATGACACACAGAGACAGCTACATAGCTGCATGCATATATATATATATATATATATATATATATGTGTCCATATTTTCAATAGGTATACATATGCACAATATTCAGATTTGTATGTTTAAGGCATTGCGACTCCCACGCCGAGACACGCGCATAAAAATTCCATGATAAACACGTGATTTTATGTACATAACTGTCAGTAGGTCTTCGAGCCAATGCAACTGTAACAGACGAGCATTATCTTAAGCTGTGATAATAGCCAGGCCACAAAGAACTGCAATTTACCTGTGTCGTCTAATTGGTGTACGGAAATGTATTTCGTAGAAAACCAAAATAGATAATTTGGCAATATAGATTGTGCCAACTATATAGATTAGTTCAGCTATATTGCAGGTAATTTCTTTATGCTGGTGTTGGATGAAATATGAAATATATCTGTTGTATTTGTTATGTTATTATGGAAATTCATAAAAATTATAATTTCTTTAAAATATAAATAATAGGTTTTACTCAGCTTAATATAGGTCTTAACATATTATTAATCAACAATTTGCATAGCAACTAATGTAATACTATAATTGAGTTGCTTTTATTATTCATCGCAAAGAGTTTTGCTTATTGTTGCCCTTACGATATGACCATGATGGCTTTTTATCTTACGTTGTGGCTTACAATTATAATAATTATTACCACTTTTTTGCAATTATCATACTCGAAATACGGCATTCAGGTCTCAATACTAATACAAAGCTAGAAATGAAAATGATAATTATTTTTATGTGCCCTGACTGGCTGTGCATTTTTGATTTCGAACCTAAAATCAAATCAAAACTAATAAGGAACTGCATGGTCTCGACTGCAAAGTCTCATAAAAACAAAACCTGATTTACTTGAACATCTTGATAAATCCACAATAAAAGCAAACTAGATTTTACTATGGAAACACAAAGCTAGTTATATATATATATATATATATAGATATATATACTCTCATCATATGTTTTTGTTGGCAACGCAACAACGTGAGCGCATCCTCACCTGCTCGGTAACAATTAACACTTTTATAGCTCTTTGCATATTTACACAAATATCAAGCAATGGTAGTTTCTATATTATATTTATTTTATACTCGGCAGCAGCAGTTGTTGGCATTTGATCATCTGAAATGTATCTCAAGCGAATGTATATGATTATATAGCTGATCTGTGAGCTTGTGCCCTCAGCTCTCAGCGCTGAATCTGAAAGTCATATTAGTTAAATATTTAACGCTTTTAATATACACTTGCCAAGAGTACTATCATGTTGTCGCAAAATGTGTAACGCTTGGTAGAAACTGACTCCGACGCCTTTAAGGTACATACATATATACATATATGACATTGAATCGACCGAATCGGACAGCTATATCTTACAGCTGCTATAGTACTGATCGTATAATTGATATGGTGAATATTATGGAAAACTATGTTTCTTTTTTAATATGTGGAAAACTATTGTGTCTTAGCTTGACTATGCCTCGCGTTTCTTTATTCTCCTAAAATATCTATTAAAAAAACTCCATATCATTCTATAGACGTAAGAGCATTTAAACTTCGTCTTATAGAAGAAAGCCGTTCTTTCCTGTTTTTTTTTTAGTTTTATTGGTTTTGTTTCTGAGCTGCAAATTTCAAGTTCAAAGTGTGCCCAGCCAGTTAGCCAGGTGATTCATTGGTTTCACGTGATCTTTTTAGTTTCTCTCAAGTGTCCCCTTGCCCCGCTGTGTTCGGAGTCGTGCGCTAATTGAAAGCCAGCTTTTGAGTGGCTCCAACGATGATAAGAGAGCGGGCGCTGATATTTTCCTGGCCGCTCAGTATCCGGCGTTTTAGTAGGCTTCTGGGTTTGTAGGCCTACGCAAAATGTGTGAATAAATTCCGAAATGTTACAGCCAAAAACTCGACGAGCATCAAGAAAGCATCTAAATTAATGTGCAAACCAGTTAAGAAGACTTGCAAGCGTGGCTAACCGGCTGACGTCATGTGTGTGTGTGTGTGTGTGTGTGTGTGTGTGGTGGCAAAGTGGGAGAGGGAGGTTGCCAGCAGACCAGTTACCAGTTCTTGCAGCAGTTGCCGTTGTTGTCATTGTTGTTGTTGTTGTCGTCCTAGTTGTGTGCCAAATTTCTTACGTTCCAGTTAGGTCGTTCGACGCTTTGCTGTTGATATGCGCCATGAATGAATATGCCAAGTAAAGTACCTACCCAAAGTGCTTTGCCCTGTACCTGCCCTGTAATCAAAAGGTGTAAAAATGTGCATTCTATTCAAGGAGAGCACGTTTAGTTTTGGATAAAAGTAGAGTTGTGAATGCGAATCGAATGAACTCAAACAGAAACTTATTTATAAACAACGCGCGCTTAAATTGAATTTTAGAAAATTCCACTCGCTTTTGTGGAAAATTGGTGGAAGTAGATTGCATAAAACTTTGTTATTCGCCATTTAATCTGCTTTAAATCTGATTTGAAAGGTTTTTTGTGCAAATTCATTTAGAATGTATTTCATACTTGACGAAAATGCATCCCCTTGCGTAGAATATAAATGTCAGAGGTTGATTCTCTTTGAACTTGTTTTGAAAGCTATCTTTTTTCACAGATATGAATATTAATGTAATATGAAATTTGAAAACTCTAGTAATAAAATTATTATAAATTAATGCTCTAATACGCCTTAACATTAATTAATTTACTATGACGCATTCTCTTGTATTACAATTTCTGCTTTATTGCTTCGGTGGTTCAGGTGCGATTCCCGGATTAGACTTGAGACAAAGCACTCAGTGTTTTGAGGAAGTCGGTTTGCCATGAGTTTCGTCTGTGCGCATATTCCCTGTTGAGCACCCTACACTTAGAGTAAGGTTCTTACTTGACTTGTTTCTTTTGTTGGTTGCACAATAGCGTCAATTGTTGTTGTTGTTGTTGCTGCTTTGTCGACGGAGCGTGGAGTTGGCTTTGTCAGTGATTTGCATTGAATTGGAAGCTGACGAAATGGCAAGTGGCCCCATGGCGAAATTGTACTCAAAATTTCCAAATCGAATCGTAGACGCCTGCGCAAGGGTTGTAATTTACAGCATACACTACATGCCGCAAAGTTCATTAGCTTCTGTGGAAAGCTGTGTCGTGTTGCCAAAAATAGACATTCCACACAACAAAAGCGGAATGAAAAAAAAAAAAAAAAAAACAGTTTCGCATAATGATGTCCAATTTGGGAACTGATTATGCAAAGTTGGCGATTTGTTTTGGCTCACTTGAATTGATGATGATGATGATAATCTTAATCACAGATCTTTGCCATTGCTGCTGATGCGGCTGCTGCTGCTGGAGCTGAAGAGACAGAGAGAGAGATTCAATTGCATGAAACATACATAAATAAATAATAGGCTGCTAATCGCTTGTAAACATGAATTTTTCCACCGAAGACATCAATGAGAAAGCAGACGGAGCTAATGCCGCACCTGAAGGGGTAAGCGTTGGCGGGAGGGGGGAGGGGGGGGAGGGCAGGGGCCTGTGCTGCTCTGTCTACGTGATTCAGAGCCTAACGAGCATAGAACCCTTGTGGGCGCACTTTCCCAAAAAGCAAGCAGCGGCAGCGCCAGCAACAATCGTGCCACATGAGCCGAGCGAACAACGTGGCTGCCGCCGCTTGGCCCCCGGCGCACGCTGCTCGTTATTGTTTTGTGATTGATGAAGGCGACGCCAGTGGGCAGCCAAAGCTCGCAAATAACAACCAACTGCCAACAGCGAGCGCTTCATTCATGGCCAAGAAGAAACAAGTGAAGTGAAGTGTGCTGTGTCGGTGAAGTGCAAGTGAAAGTGAAGTTTTGGCGGCGTTTCGTCGTGTACTTCATTGGCAGCCACAAAATAATTTCCCACTAACATCATTTTCAACAACGAAAGAGGAAAAAAAAAAAACAAGAGTGTGCCCGACTAACAGATACCCCGTGCTGTCATCGCAATCAAAGTAATCGAAGTACATTGTATGCCACAAGTCAACAGCTATAATTCTCAAAAGTCTATCATCTAATCGGGCATGATATCCAAAAAGTTAATCTGTACGAGATATTGTCGATAGACCTAGTCTTCAAATCGATATTTTTCGATTTCTTAAAATCGATGATTCACAATAACTTCTAAACTTAAAAATCCTCTTAGTCTCCGATCGAAGCGAATCGAACCGACTCTTGATACAGAGAGCAAGAATATATATGTTCCCTTATGTTCGAAGATGCCTGTTACATACATGTATAGAGATCCATCATAGTCTGCTTAACCCATTTTCAATGGGTACAAGGTGTACAAAAACAGATGAAAAAAACTTTGCCCATTTCCATTTGTTGTTGCTGCTGTTGACTGATGTGATTCGCCGCTGTGGCTGCTGCTGCTGCTGCTGCGGATCGTCATTGTTGCTGCTCATCTTCATGTTCATCTTCATCTTCATCATCGGCGCCCGTGTGTTTGTTACACATTTAATTAAATGCCTGGCCAAGTGAGAGTGAATCGGATCGTCTCGCAACTTTGTGTTGATCTTTGTTCACCTTGGGTTAGAGATGGGCATGTGTTGAACCCTATGAAACCCGATTTCGTAAGGCTATTATTATTATTATTTTTTTGTCACGACACTTTTTAAATAACGCGTTTAAATAGCCAACTCTGAACCCATTAAGTTAACTCAGATGAGTATATATGGGGAGACAGTGCATATAGACAAGGCAAAAAGCTTAGACCCCGCCTTGGTATTGTTGTTATTTACTTCGATAAAATTCGCTAATTTTATATTAAAATAGGCTCTTAGCCTTTAAATCTACGTTAGATTGAACTACTAATATGATGGGGCGCCAATAGAAACGAACGATTGCAAACTGAGTTATTTTGTAAAAATCAGAAAAATAGAATATATAGAAGGTACATCTAACAAATGAATATAAAATTCATAAAGATCTTCGAGTCTAACTATTGATTGTTTATTAATTGATGAAATTTATTTATTGACAAACACAATTGATGTCGTGCAACGAAGCGAAAGCACGCTTCGTGGCCTTCGCTAGCTTCATGGGACGAGGGAGGGGGCACTGGAGGCACGCTTCATTAACCGCTTGTCTCAGCCATTGTCTCAGCGCGCCCAGCGCCCAGCGTTCACTTTCTAATCATCAAGTCAGCTTTGCCGTCGTCGTCAGCGTCGCCATGTGGCTGCCAAGTTGCCAACTCTGGCAGCCATGACCGAATGCAATCAGCGACGGCCACGCAAGTTGAAGGTACTACCAAACCGCATATGGCAAGGGAGGAGAGGGTGAACTGAATGAATAGGTAGAGAGAGATAGAGAGGCCGAAAGAGAGAGAGAGAGAGAGAGAGAGAGAGAGGGGGCAGCACTCGCAATCGTTGTTGGCTTTTGGGTTTCGTGTAGAAGGTCTTTCAGACAGGCGTATAGGGCTGGCATATGCACAGGTAACTAACTGGGCTCAGACGCATAAGGTCAAGTCAACAAACAAACAGCTTAACAACTCAGGCAGTCAGTTAACGTAATCGTAATCGCATAGTTAGTAACTACATTCGCGATGTTTACTAATGAAATATACAAAACGATTCATATGCGTGTGAGCTAACCTGCGCGGGTAGTTTAAGCGGTTCTCGACAAAAAGCTGATCAAATGAAAGTAAACGAATATTTGATGAAATAATGCGATTAGATAAGACTGGTTCAATATTCATTGGAATAGACTTGTGCACAAAGAAAAGCGGAAATATAGCTATAAAATCTTTATGCTTTTTTTATATGTAAACACAGATTAGATAACTAAAAGACGCTTTTATCTATTAGATAAACACAAATATATGTTTTTGCTCAATGATCTCGAATGCGGCTACTTCTAGTTGCCAAATATGTATAGTATTTCGGGAGAGTTTCTATCTTTAAGCAACTGGGGCTAACCGATCTTTGGGAACGAAAGTAGTTTTTTCTGGAACTGCCCTCGCTCATATGAAGTTATTGTTGTTTTTGTTTGCTTGTCATCAGCGCTGGTTGTTGTTGTTGATTGTTTCATAACAGCTGAGACAAAGTCAGGCAAAAGGTAAATGGGTTTGGTGTACCTTGTGCCTAATGCGTTAATATCATCATCAAGCTGGCTGGCTCATAGAAACTTACATATGTAGACAGATAGTCGTGTTGTGAGTTATGCTTATGCTATCTACATGTGTGTGTGTGTGGCACAGTGGGCACAAGTTTTGGTTTTTATGACATTAGTTTTAACGATGCCAGTGACAGCAATGTCCGACAACAACAACAACAACAATAAGCAAGTTTCAATGAAAAGTCGAAACAGGCCGCAGGTCCGGATATAAATGGTTTGTTGTTCACACACTCACAAACACACATACAAGTACAGCCATATGCAGAAGCACACTCATCATTACGCTTAACGCTTGGCTCAGTCTCAGACCCAGTCAGCCATTACGAAGCCCATTTTGTTAGTAGCCCGCCGCATACGACTAACTACCAAAAGTGCCTCCTCACAGTTTGCGTTTACAGCGGCCGTAATGTGCTCGTACTCGCACTCAGACGTACAGCGCATGCAGCGAAAGAGAGAGAGAGAGAGGGAGAGTGAGCGAAAGAGCGGTTGCAGCGCCCCCGCTGAATGCCGCCCTCGCCCGCCCTTCAAAGCCCAGACGTCAGGTCGTGAGTCACCTGAGCGTAACGTAAGCGCAGCTTATTGTTCGCGCTCATGTGGCTCGCGTCGGCTACTTGTGCTCGTTATGATTTTAACGCTCTTACGCTCGTACGTTTTCGCTCTTGCGGCTCTCCCAATGCAGTTGCGGTGTGTGAGTTGTGTGAGCAGCTGTTTTGGGCTGCCACACAAATTCGCTGCTATTGTGATCGCCTTTTTGACAGTGACTCTGCGAGTGTGAGTGTGTTTCAGTGTATGCGTGTGTGTCGTTTGCATACAAATTTACACTTTTTCGTAGTAGTTTTTCGGGCTTGTTACTCTCTGTTTTCTCAATTACTCAATTTGACAATGGAAATGAAAAATTAGCAACAAATTTGTGCATTTCAGATGTTCAGATGAATATCCGTTAAAAGCACTTAAATGCAATGACTCTTAGTCCCACTGTGCTTCCAGCCAGTCAGAGCACATATATATGTACATACGTCAACGCTGCAGGTGTTTGTTTATTTGTGTTTTAGCCATGCTGCAAGTGTTTCGCTTGCGAACTGACAATTGTTTTCGGTAGATCAAATTGAAAAGAACAGCTTAACACAGAGCCTGAACAACAGCCACAACAATAACTGGCACACAAACTTGCCTATTGGCAATATACACACATAGCTATATACCCACATGCTCACAAACACATACAGACTGTCATACAGAGTCATTCACTCTCTCTCGCACACACTGATAGTCGTGGAAACGGGCCGTCGATTTACGGCTTGGAAGCTCGCCCGCCACTGTCGGCCAATTTAGTCTCTCTCAAAGTTTCGTCGAAGCAGGCAGCAAAGGCACAGAGAAAACGTGCGCGCGCTTTTCTGTTCAAAACGTCGACGTCGCAGTCGCTGCCCGATCGTGCGTTTTGTTGTTAATATAAAAACTTGGTTCGCTCACTGTGTTTTACTGCTCACACATTTTGTTGTTGGCATTCAATATTATTTTTGAATATGGATTCGTTAATTGTTGTTTTTGTGACCACTTTGCATACGCAAAACAAGCAACAAAATTTTGAAATTGAATAACAAATTTTGCAGCGCGCGAATTGATTTGCAAACAAAACTTGTGTGTGAATTGTGAGTGTTGAGTGTTGAAAAAAATTAAGAAATAAAACAACAATTTAATAGTATAAATTGCAAAACACATACATACACACGCACACATGTACATACATATGTATGTATGTGTGCGAAAAAACACAGCTCACGAGCTGGAAGCGTGTGCCTTCTTGTTGTTTTTGTTGTAATTTTCAATTTGTTTGTTGCGGCTGCTGTCAAGTCAGGCCCGGGTTTATTATTAATTTGACATCGTCGTGTTCCCCTTCCCCAATACACAATAACAACAAAAACAAGAACTTTAGCAACGAAAAGCCCAAGACCAAAGACGGATAGCATGAAAAACAAAAACAACAGCATTGCATACAGTTTTTTTAATGTAAAAAATAAAATATAATTAAAGAGAAAACCGCCTTTCTCTGCGCGTATCACAAAAACAATAGTGCCGCCAACAACAACAACAACAAAAAAACAGGCGTCGACAGCGGGAACAGCAGCAGCAGCAGCAGCAGAGGCAGCAGCAGCGGCAGCAGCAACAAAAGCCACGGCCACTGCCCCGTTACGTTTCGGCAAACACACGACTAAAGCGTCCCACTGTCGGTCTGTTTGTGTGCATATGTGTCTGTGTGTGCACGGGGTGTGTATATGTGGACTCGACTGGAAATTTCTGCTACACATTTTTAATTGAAATTGTAGCCAAGTGCCGAGAGCATAAGCATACAGCTCATAGATGCAGACCCTCAAAAGAGCAGCTCCCAAAAAGAAGAGCGCAATCAAAATAACTGTATAAGACCGCTCAATGTGTCGAAAGCTGCAATCAGCTCTGTCAATAAGTCCTTCTGTCACGCTCAAAGCTCAGATCGTAATACTCAAAACAATTGAGTATTAAATACGCAACAGCTCAAAGCTTTAGCTTTTCATATTATGCCATTTAATTTTTGGTACAGCGTAAAGTTTGAGCAGCACAAAAGCTTAACAGCTGATTATACGCAGCTGCAGCTGGTCTGCAGTCGCAGAGAAAGCACAAAATTCAAGTCACAGTTAACCGTTGCTGCGCTCAAAACTGTCTCGCTCTGTCACGAAATTTATACGGCGCGCAGGCGTTGCGCGATCGTAGCTGCGTCTGTTGCTGCTTTGCTTGTGCAACCACTTGCCAACCAATTACGCTGCGTCGCAGTCGCGTTGTGCAGTTAGCGTTGTTGCATATTGTGTTTCCACTTCCTCTTCCGCTCATTTTGAGCCGCCCGATTGCCATTTGTTAGACAAGGACCACGCGCAAAGAAAGAGTACAAGCGAAAGAGAGTTGGATTACGTGCGCCGTTACTAATGACACGAAAGTGAATAAAGCACCGCAGTCCATTGTGAACTGCCACTGTGCCGCCCAGTGCAGCACCCAGCTGCACTTGGTTAATCTCTCTCTCTCTCTCTCTCGCTCTCTCTCCCTTTCGCGCTGTGTGCGTGTGCTTGTGTGTGTGTGTGTGTGTAATAATTATAAATTAAATAATTATACAATACAAGCAACAAAACAACTTGGAACTGATTGCAACTGCAGTTGTCGCGGTTGCTGCTGCGGCTGCTGCTGCTGCTGCTGCTCTGTTGTTGCTCGTGCAGTGGAACACCTGTAAAACAAAGGCAGCTCTATCTGCAACAATTATAATAACAACAACAAGTTGCCATTGTCGTGCGCTGTGGCGGATGCAAGCAGCTTAAAGCATAACGAAAATTAAAAACAAAGTCAAATGCTAAAAAAAATACCAAGCCAGATTTTGCTGCTTAGCCTAAAACTCGTTCAACGAAATAAACCCATGCAATAAGAGATTAATTTGATGCAGACCACGCCAGAGACTTACAATAAATGTGTTTTGTTTTTAGAATATGTTTAAACGGCAACGAGATCAACTTGAATGCTTTTAGCAACAAGAACAACAACAACAACAACAAGAACAAAACACGACAACAACTTTGCGTTTGTCGTTTAATAAGAAAACATATTGAGAATTGGCTTTTATGAGTGGGTTTTTCGGGGGCAGCATTCTCACAATGTAGACTCGACTCGACTCGACTCGAGAATTCTAGCCAGAACAGAACAACAGTTCTGTTTGGGTTGTAGGCGACTTGTTTTGGCCAAGAGCGCCATGACTTGTTGTGGAATCCAAGGCAAGGCTAATGCATGACACAGAGGGGGCTAGTGGGGTGGCTTGGATTATCGAAACAGCGAAATTCGTTGGCTTTAACAGCTTTTCATGTCACATATCTATATGTGTGTGTGTGTGTGTGTTTCTGAGTAACAACAAATGACGAAACAATCGCCGCTGTGACACTCATCTGGGCTTCGGACAATATTTGTCCAGAATTGTAACGAATCAGAGACTTGCCGCTGTTAACGCTGATGATGATGATGATGATGAAGCCATCAGCGATCGTTTTCAAAAAACACTCGAGACACTCATCAAAGGTTCTTGAACTTGCCAAAACCAAAACCGAAAAAAACAAGACAACCGATTTATGGCTGGAAAGTGTGGGGGATGGCTGCTTCTTCTTCTTCTTCTGCTGCTTCTGCCTTCGCTTGGGTTTGTTCGATTGTACGACATGCATACATATTTAATGCGACAAAATTTACATTTCGATCTTGATCTTCTCAGTTGATAAACAAACGAATCTTTTTCCCTTTCTATGCGCCATTGTCTCTTCTCTGTCTCCCCCCCCTCCGCTCGCTTTCCGCGCATTGACAATATTCTCACGTAAATTTGCATATGATTTATGGACTTATTAAAGTGGATCAGGTCAGCTGGCAGCAGTGCCAAAAAGCTTTCTCAGCTTGTCTGGCAAGCTTTTCAGTGCAGACGGATGCCAAACTGTTCACATCCTCCCCTGGCGTATATGTGTGTGTGTGTGTGTGTGGCGTGTGGCGTGTGTGGCATGTGTCTGACATATGAATTCGCATACAATTCGCATTCAATTTGAATATTGTTTACTTGGCACTCGCTGCGGCATTTATTCATTTATTTTCTAGCTATGCGACTTTTACTTGCGATCGCCGATCGCTGACCTAAAAAGCTACAAAGCTGATTGAATGCGCTTCGAGAGAGTCGTGAGTTTGCAAGTCTCTCTCTCGCTCAATGAGCACAAAAGCGCGACAAAAAAAAAAAAAACAAACAAACATTTTGCAAGTGTCACGCAACCCACTTGCTTCATTAGCGATTGTCAGTTGTCTCTCCCCCCCTCTCCCCGCTCTCTTCCACTGTGTGTCGCTTCTGCTGCTGCTGTTTTATTACACCTTTTTTGAAGGGCATTCACAATGAAGGCGATGGCAAAGTTTTGGGCTTGTTAACTTAAATGGGCTGCGCAATGCGCAAAAGACGGCAAAACGCGCTTGGAATGTCTACTAAATGTATTTAACTAATATTATCGCCTTAGAAGCAAAGGTAAAATAAAAACGTTATCTAAACGCTCGACGAGAACGGAATGTAGCCAGCGCAGCGGCAGAGGGAAGAAACGAAAAATTCCAAAACTAAACCAAAGATTAAATGGCAAAGAAATCAAAGTACATGCAAAAAAAAAAATGCTAAACAAATATCAAATAAATTATAACGAAAGCAAGAACAATAAATATACATATATAAAATCGAAATAAACAACAACAATGTGAAATCAATTTGCAAATGAATGAAACGAAAGCAAAACAAAAGAAAATCTACAAACAAATACACAGCGACAACAACAACAACAACAACAAGGACAAAAACAACATAACAAACTTACGGAAAGTGAAGGCGAAAGTGTAGCCACGCCTACCAAACCACTCAATATTTAGTAACTGTTTTTATTTTGACTCAATTGTGCGAGAGTCGAGTTGTCGAGTGTGTCTAACGCGTCGAATGCGACGTCGCTGTTTCAATCTGCCGTTCCCGCTCCGATCATGTCAAAGACGAGCAGCAGCCACAAGAGCAGCAACAACAATCGCAGGCACCTGCCCGTGCCCGCGCCCGCGCCCACATCCCTTGAGGACAGCGGCGGCGAGTCCTTTCTGCAATACGACTGCGAAAAGAAGCCGCCGCCGATTGTTGTTGTCGTCGGCGACGGACGGAGTCGAGTGCGTCGCGTGGTGCGCACCGCCACGCGTCACGTGACCGTTGTCAGTCTATCGACGCGCCACAAGGAGACGCAGACGCACACCTCGCACCATGTGACGGCCGTCAGGTAAGCGCCCACCGGACACTGGCAAAAGGGAAACCGGCAGCAAGCGCACTCAACGCTTATCGTTATCGCTGGATCTGCTGCTTATGAGTGTATTAAAATATATTTATAGCTGTTTAACAATTGGTCTGCTAGAAGCCTTTAAATACGCCGTTTGACACTTATTATAGTTTGATTTCCCCTGCGTTTTATCGCTGCCAATGATAAGCCGCGCTGTGGAACCTGTTCTATATTGTAATGCATTTTCGTTTCGCCTAGCTGCAGTTTCATTCACACTATGATTCAACTTTGTCAGTTGTAGGCCGTGCTGTCGAACCTGTTTTATGATGTATTCGATCAGAGCTGCTGTTTCATTTCCAATGCGTTTCAGTCAGTAATGTGGAACCTGTGTTCCAATTTCATTGCATTTCATCTGTGTGGAACCAGTGAAACCTATTGTGTTGTGTATTGTGTTTTGCAGTGGTGAAATTACTTGGTTTATACAAAAACATTGCATAACACTGGGCTGCTGTTGGTAATGTTAAGGTAGTGTTAACCTAACAGCTCTGTTAGCTAACATTTCGCTGTCAACTAATTTGTGGATTCTGCTAAAGATTTATAAATAAATATTAATTTGCTTTACTAATATCAATGAGCATAATAGTTAAATTTGGTATGTTATTTGAGCAAGTATTATATAAGGCTTAACATTTTAAATAATTTACGAGTATAAAAACTACAATTGTCGCTAATATACAAGATCAAATCTTAATCTTGTATATAAAATAAGCTCGTATTGATATTTGCATTTTTTTGTTTAAATAATAAACCAGTTGGCCCAATTATTTAATATATGTATTTGTGGTAAATCATATCTTGAATTCCCAATGGACATGGGCGCCCATATCAGTGTGAATTAATATGACAACCCAAAACCCTGTCAGTCTGTCTAGCAGCTGTCTGTCTGTCTATCTGTGTGTTTGTTTGTTGTTTTTGGTAGGGGCACACTCCATAAAGCATAAGTCCTCAAAAGAACACTAATGTAAAATCAATAACAATTACGGTTGCGCTTTGGCAAAAGGCGGCCGACGCCGCAGTCGTCGTGCGGGTCACGCAAGTCGCCAAGAGGCGGACAGCACGGACGGAGGCGACACTTGTTGCATATCAAGCAGCCAGCGAGGAAGTGAATGCGCGGCAGCAAGAGGAAATGGCCGGGGGCACTACAAATTAAAACTTTGGCTCGCGAGCAAAGCGCAGTGTGTGACGTCGCAAGCTACAAAGATACATTCACATGTATCCAACAGATACACGCACATAGATACAGATACACAGATACAGCTACAGCTATGCCGCAGGCAAACAAACAGCTGGACACATGTGCAACGGCAAACAATTAGGGCCGACGTGTGGCAGATGTTTCTCGCTTGGACTCAATTTACAAGACAGGACTTTCGAGCACTTAAATCGCTACAGAATGGAGCAGGAGAGGCAGAGGGCGAATGCGTCAAGTTGCTTAGCTGGCAACAATAACAGCAAGCTGTTGTTGTTGTTGCCAGGCAGCGGTACCTGCCGTAAGGACAACACAAAATGAACGCCAGGTGCATTTGGAAACTGGAAACAATCGCGCAAGGATGATATACCACTGCCTATGGAAAATCGTATTGTGCGTGTTTCTGTCCCTTTTCGTGATCCTGGCAGCAAGTTTTTTTCTTGGCTGCGAATTGCAGCTGCTCTTTGTTCAGTTTTCCGTTTTGGCCAGAATAGACAACAACACCGAAGCTGGAAACTTATTAGGCCACCAGCTGAGCCATGATTCGAGTCGGTTCGTCGGGGCAGCTATACGAATCGCATAATCAATGATTCAGGCATTGCAATGCAAATCGATTTACACAATTCCAAAGCCAGTTGCAACCGGGAGAGACAATTAAAGTAAATCGATTTTAAGTTTAAGGTATTTATGAAGCAGTATTATGTGTATATATGGATATATTACAATCAAAAAAGTTGCTTCGATTCGTAAACTTTGCTCCTTGTTGTTGAAAACGAAGAGGATCCAAGTTTGAAACTCTTACGTGCCTTAATTTCCACTGAAAGATTAGCTTTCTTTTGAATTAGACTTTAAGTTAAGGAAATTGCCTCGTAATTTGCGGAAGAATTTTCTTTTTATTCGTTAATAATTTTAAATCGAAGAATTTTGAGCAAATTATTGTTATTCATGTGATCTGTCATCAATTTTCAATATTTATTTCAATCTTATTACTGACACTTTCTACTCTACTTTCGTGTTTGTCATCGTTAGCTAATCATTTCCGTAACTTTTCCCTCTGTCGAAATCCCTGCGAGCTGTTGATCCATCCGCCATATGGCACTGGCACTCTAAATCTTTACCCTGCCCCCCTGCCCTCAGACTACTGTCATTCTCGCTCTTCCCTTTATTTGTTGCTTTGCTTTTGTTTAATGGATCCTTTTACGCTTAGGATCTTCTCTTTGTTGTGTGTGTTCATATTGTCTATGGCTTCGTAAGGGTAGCAATTGTTGGCCGAAGACCAACAAAACAGATGCATTTTGGATGCGTAGGCAGCTGACACACCTACACACACACACGCACACACACTCGCACACAACTGAGCTAAGCGAAACACGTTTCTGAACCTCGATTCGATCCCAACAAGCAGCTTGTCGAGCTCTGGCCAAACGCTCGGTTTAGTTGAAACGCGAACGTTGCCGAGCGACGACGTGATCTTCCGCCTGTTCCAAATGCTCGCGTGGTGCTTCCTCCCTTCGGTCTAACCGAAAGCAACGAAAATTTGAGAAACGAAAAGAGAATTTCAATTTGAATAATCTTTAAACAAACGATCGTCGATTTTGTATTTGTGAATATTATGAATATTACCTGGCCATAACTGTGCCCTGATCTATGTGTGTGATCTGTGTGTGTGCGTGATTTCTATCAAAAACTTAAGATCATAGAATAGTCAAGATGATCATTTGCATTTCGGGTTTTATAATTGGCGAAAGGTACGCATCGAGCTCATATAAATCTGTTGGGTCAAACGAAAGTTGTGTCTAAAGTCTTGTGATCCTTATTAATTGTTCTATCTCTCTCTCTCTCTCTTTGCTTGCAGCTTTCCCCAGAAGAGCATCGAGCGCAGCGGCTCCACACAATACGATCTGGCCGGAGCGCCAGTGGCCGCCCACGGCTCGAGCGCAGCCGCTGACAGCGTCGGCGGCTATGTTTACCTGCAGAACCATTATGCGGGCGGCGGAGGTGGTCACAACTCCGCCGCGACCATAAACTATCCCGCGCCGCAGCATCCGCAGATGATCTACCAGCTCCAGCAGTATCCCACGTGCCATCAGCAGCAGCAACAGCAGCAACTGCAGCAGCATCAGCACTTTATGCAAGTGCAGGCGGCACCAGCGGGCGCTGGCCACTATCATCACCACAATCACCACCTGCTGCACAGCCATGGGCATCATCATCATCATGGCGGCGCCGTGGTCATTGCCGGCAGCGGCGTCGGCACCGGAGCCGGTGCAGCGGGCGCAGTTGTCCTGCAGCAGCAGCAGCAGCAGAGCATGCACAAGAAGAACTCCATACGGAACGGCGGGGATGTGCTCAAGCGCACGCGCGCCCAGTCAGCGTAAGTGTTTCTTCCACAAGTGATAACAGCTAGACAACCAAGAAGAAGAGCAAGTTATCTAGACCGATCAACAGGCGGGCGATCAGTTAACAGAGACCCACAGCGTAGTCAGCCTAATTAGCTTGGACTTTGCACTGCGCCAATTTCTGATAAACAGCAAAGGGGCCTCCCGGCAGACCCCGCCCGATATATCCAAGATTAGGCACTGACGCACGCGAACGTGGCGCGTATGTAAATATTTGGGAATGCGCCTCGGCAGCGTATCAGCTGACAGCTGACTTTCACAATGCGCCGCGGGCGACACCTGCACTTTTGCCAGGAACAAACGTTACGCACAGCAATTCCAGCTGTTTTTTTTTCAGATAAACGGGCAACTGTTGTTGTTGTTGTTGTACTTGATATCCCCCTCTTTGTATGCGATGCGCTGATTTTCTTGTAAAACAAACACTCGAGCAGCAAAGTCTGACGTTTGATTTCAGAGTTCTCTTTAAAACAAGTGCATAGCTTGTGCAATGCGTTAACAGGTTGAGAATTTTAAGCACAAGCGGCAATTAACTTGAGTAGACTGTTAAAACCTGCCCAATCTGCATCTCGACTATGTCGAAACATATTTTATTCTTTGGCCCAGTCCACATATCGTATTGTAAATAAAATAATCAAGATTCAATAAGGGCATAAACTGACATAATACAAAGTTTTTATCTCAAGTATTTTAAATATCTTTTACAAATTCTCTGTCTAAC